AAAAATTTTCCTGCATTGTTTAATCTTACGCCAAAATCTTCCGTATTCGCTTTCTGTTAGAAGCAGAGGCACTTGGGAAGTGGCTCAAATGGTAGCAAACGCCAGCAGCAACCACCCGCTGGTAAAGCGGTCAGTGGCTACCTGTTTCGAGGTTGCTTACAAGCAATGACAGATTTGTCACTCTAGTTACGTTGGTACCAGTTTACCATCCAAACAAATGAACGAATCGTAGAGGGATTAGTTTTCTCACCGTGAAGTCGAAATATCGACCTTTTGCACGTCACAGCAGTGATACTTCCCATTTTGCCTTGCTCTCCTGTATCATTTTACATATTCTAGCACATACTTTATCAAAAATTCCCGCACAACCAGTGTGTGGGTGTTGTGCGTTAGTGATCTTGCTAGGATGCTTCCGCACCTCGGGCTTTTTCAGCTTTGTCAAACCCTTAGCTGCATACTTCCATTAAGTATCTATTGCTAGTCCACATGTACAGGACAAGCGATAGTGCTTGTGCTGTATATGTGTGCCGGTCGTTCTTCAGGGTGTCCCGAGTGGTCTGTTCATTTTTTTGCAGCTACCGATTACTGACATGCGAATCCATTTTTACGAGAAAAAAATTTTTTTTTGTACTGTTTAATGGAAAATTTAGTGTGTGAACTCCGTTATTCTAAGCAAGTGTTCCCGGTCCTTTCTTCATAGTCTGGTTCCTTGCCTCTGTGCTGCTTTCAAAGGGTGCATTCCTCGAGTCTGAGTTACGCATTAATTTCCAACTGCTTTCAGCTCGGCGGTGAAACTGTTGCAAAATGATGAGGTCACAGCAACGCTGTTGCTGGACAGTCGTGAAGTGGCGTGTACAGATGCGCGACCGGTGTCGCAGCAAGCCTGGGATCAGCGCTTCAGCATCGATTTGGATAGAGTTGACTTTTGATTTATATGTGCTCCTTACATACATACATGCATCCATCCTCTGTGTCACAAGTCAAAGCTTATTGCTAATTTTCGGAACGTATCCTCAGAATTGAATGCTGCGTTTTCAGAGCCTTGCAAGATGCAGGAACTGACTTATGAAATGCTCAGCTTTTCTTGTATGCTGTGAATTTAGACCAAAAGTCATAAAGCTTGGTCACACTTGCCAGTAATTAGCGTCTGGATTCTCATGAGATCCGTGAAGAATTATTGCGAGTCTAGGAGCTAAGGAGAAAAAAGGCGACTGAAAAGTGGCTAAGAAAAAAGCTAGAAAAAAAGTATCCTCCCTTGCTGCTGGGCTACTACTGCCTTTTGCATGCTGTACGTTTTCTCCAAAGCTGGAGAAAAGAACGTGATATTTAAATACAGTAAATGAAAACCTGCAAGTAATTCAATATACCATATAGGCGAACGAGTTGATTAGCATTCCTTGGGGAATATCCATTGAGTCTGTCCCGCCTCGCATTATGCGTAGAAATTATAGGAAATTTTTGAAGACTTGGAATTTGTAAGAAATTTTTGAAGGGTTTTCATATATCTTTTTCTTCAAATCAAACATAAGATGCAAAAGACGGCGTTCTAAGTACTTAATTGGTAAATTTCGGAATTCACTTGCTTTCTTTTTCTATCCTCTTGCTCTGCCCGGGGCAGCTTTTTAAACCTAGAAACTGCCAGCATAGGCATTACTGAAAAGCTAATTGTTAAAAAGTCATGTGCGTGGAGAGGAAAACCCCGTCCTCCAAGTGTTTAAAAAAAATTTTTTCAGTCAAAAGAGCTGGAAATAGAAATACGATACCGTGACTGCCGTTCGATGTGTGCATTTACGGTTGTCCGAATGGGTGATATTGTGGAGCCATCTGAACGATCCGGTATGGTGCTCGGTCTCGAACCGCAAGGAGATCTCTTTGCTGAGGTACAACTCAGCTTCTTTATCGTCTGCGTTTTTTAAAAAGAGTTTGGGGAGTTTTTAAGTTTTTTCGTCGTTGCTTTTTTTATCCCATTGATACAGTTGGCAACTTTTCCGATCTCTTTATTGCTCCTGCCTCATTCGTATAATTCCGCATAATAAAGTAAAATTCTTTGGACAGGACATGTTACTTACTTTGATGACAACTGGTGGTAGTACTTTAGGGACGGTAAATGACCATTCGGGCAGTTCCGAAGAAGTGCAGTATATACATTGAACAGGGCGATGGGTACTAACTAGAGATATGCAGGCCTGCACTGCAGGGCTTGGCACATTCATCGGCGTGGAATACACACGCTGTTTGCCCGGACGACCTTCATATGCGTGATATTAATTTCACATAGGCTTTTAGGTTAGCCCATCACATATCGGCCAGTACAGCTGTCACTGTTGGATTGAAATCAATTTTGACTTTTTATTCCAGATTCTTCTCTGTTCGTCTGATTTTTTATTTTTCAGTTCAAATATTTGAACCCAGTTGTGAGCAGAAAACCGAAACTTGAAAGACAAAAACGCCTCTTCAGAGTGAAAGGTATTTACGGAATCATTACAAAGAAATTTTGCCGTTTTATGACGAAAAGCTTGCATTCCGAGTTTTTATTTCATGAGAGGGGCATATAATTCGTATGAATTGCGTTTAGATTTAAATAACTTCTTTGCATACATTTTGCTGCTGTGCCCGCTCCCCTTCCGTTTCCTTCGCCACTACATCCTTCTTTAATACGTAAACATCGCACAGTTTCAGTGGAATGTTTAGGGAGAAGGCTTGGAAAGTTTTGATTCAGAGCTATAATTCTGTTTCAGAACGAAAAGAGATGGCAGGTGCGAAGAAGCAACTTGGTGTTGCAGCTTGGAGTCGTTTGATGAAACAGTTCGGCGGATCGCAACCCAACGAAAGCATTGAGCCAGTAATAAGCCCTGCAACCTATGGGGCTTCTACTACTGCTACTGCTGCTCGTGGTATGATATTTCATTAGATTTGGTGCTCATGCGCGGCGTAGGCGATATTTTCTGCTAACTGGGCATATGCAGTTTAGGGTCGGAAGATCTGAACAATGGCTACGCCCAGTGTTTAGGAGCACTCCCAGTGGCATCGCTAACATGGAATTTCTTGCTGTGCTTGTTTTCCTGTCTGTCTTGATAGCCCCGTATCGTGCATGCATCGCGGCACACGCGTGAAAAGATGCTGGAGAACATGGCCTTGCCGTGATGCGTTTTTGTCGCAGTAATGATGCGCGCAAATTTACGCCACTCCCTCATATTTTGCAGCTTCGTCACCGCCGGCAACGAAGAGCGCTCACACGTTGCCATCTCGTTTAAGTGCCGATCGACCGTTGACCTCATTTGCAGCTTCTCACTTAGCACTCTCTCCAGAAACGGACTTCACTGCGGCAGCGGCAGCAACAGCACCAGTACCACATACAGCACAGATTCCGCAGGGTGCATTTATTCAGAATGTTCACTTTGATGAACATGTTGAACGGGCGAAAGCGAAATATCATCAGCGGCAGCATGAAGCTCACAAGGTCGTTTTGCCATTTTCGACTTTAAACCTGGGATTACCCTTGCTCTAGCCCAGCTCTCCTGAGTTATTCCTGCCTCTTCTTAGGGACCAGCGATTTAGTGCATGGTACTGTAATATTTTGAAATTGTGTCTGGAACTTGAGTGGGAATTGTGATACGGTGTTCGTCGATAACTTTCCGACACCTTGTTTTCTCCAACTATTTAATTTTGGTCAACCACCTCATAAATAGGTTTATAACGCAGCATTTATTGGCAATTATTTTTTTTTGCAAAGTTTATTAATCTATAGATTGGTTCGGCAACTTTGTACTCGTGTAGTTTTTCACTTGTGCAATTTTCCATTTATTTTAACCAGTGCTGCATTATCTGCTGCTTAGCTTACTAGTGATCCTGATGTTTGTTTCATCTCCCGAAGAGGTTACCAGCTCAGCGTTTTTCCAGACAAGTATTTGTCAAAACTTTGACGGTCTTGAGGTGTCTTTGGTGTTTATAGCTTGTCATTGTCTCGCCTCGGGCACTACCGTTCGTAGTCCACAGTGGGAGTACTTCATTGTCAAAGAGTCAAAAGGGAAATTAGTTTTGGCTAGGGGAATATTTTCACTTGACCCTGTTTTAGGTTTTTCTTTAACCTTAGATTTGAGCGGTGATGCTTAATATTGACTGGGAAGAGGATGGTGTAATTTCGCAGAATCTGTAACTTTTTTCAGCCATTGCCAGTACCAACGCGACCTGCACCGAAGCCTCCGAGTAGCGCTCTCCAAGTGGAGTCACCACCTCCGTTGCCAACATCCAAGCCACCGCCTTTAACGCATACGAAGACATCACGAATTACTTCCACAACGATGGCCGCAATCACAGTTGATAAATTCCGTCTTATTTCGGTGCTGGGACGAGGACACTTCGGAAAGGTCCATATTTTTGATGTCTAGTCCCAGTGAATATTTCCCATTTTCGAAACGACAATTTTCAGCCATATTTATATCGTCTAGATGCAGTTGTGTTGCGAGGGAGAGGGAGGAAGAGAGGGATTTAGTGCTGTCAGAAATCTAAGAGACTGTTGATCTAGAAGCTGCCGTGCTTTTTGGCGCATTCAAATTTTAGGTGATTTTGGCACAGTACAAAACAAATGGTGAGTACTATGCACTGAAAGTGTTGAAAAAAGGTGATGTACTTGGGCGCGATGAGGTCGAGTCATTGATGGTCGAGAAAAGGATTTTTGAGGTTTGTTTAGTGTCGTAATGTTTTTTCTGCTAAATCAAAATCATGAATCCTGGAGCCGTCGACATAACTGCCAGCAGGTACTTCTAAGAGGGAGCGCATACGAAGGGAATTTTAACTTTTGAGTTTTTGATGTTTTGTGAATTTTCAGATTGCAACACGGCGCCGTCATCCATTCCTTGTGAATTTGTTCGCATGTTTCCAGTCAAAAGAGCATGTCTTCTTTGTTATGGAATATTCGATGGGTGGTGATCTGATGCGACATATCCACGATGATATTTTCAGCGAGGAAAGGAGTTGCTTCTATTCGGCTTGTGTACTGCTGGGTCTTGAATTCCTTCACGCTAATAACATCATTTATAGGTCGGTACCGTTGTTAGTTGGAGCAGTAAAATAAGTATCGTTTTATCCAGAAAGTAATACAGGTTCCTTGTGCAGCTCCCACTTCTTGTAGCTTGCCTTCACACTACCTGTGCTTTTCGCAACTTCCCCCTGGTTCCTTTGGGTCCTGTTTCCTCACTTATTTCTTCATGTTGTATTCTGCGAGATGGTGATCTCAACAAAGTGTAAACTGGATGATGAACTTTAGCATAGGGCTTCTGATGGTATATGATATCGTTATTTATTATGGGAGATGAATCTGTGTAAATTCTGCAGAGATCTCAAATTGGATAATCTTTTGTTGGATAAAGAAGGTTACGTGAAATTAGCCGATTTTGGATTATGTAAAGAAGGTATGGGGCCGACCGATAGAACTTCAACATTTTGTGGTACTCCAGAATTCCTTGCACCTGAGGTTTGTTCCTTCACTTTTTTGTTTTCGTTACTTTCTATTATAATTTTGGTAATGATTGTTGCTGGAAAATAAACGAGGCGCAGAGATAGCGGACAGGGATGAGTACGAGTTGAAAGTATGAATTTCAGGATCGATGGACCTAGCATAGCTGTGCTTGGCGTGTGAGAGCATCTCAGTAAAGTTTTTTTGAGGTAGTGGAAGGGACACTGAACTATTGATTTTATCATTTGAGTTTTGTTTTAGGTACTTACTGAGAATAGTTATACTCGTGCGATTGATTGGTGGGGGCTTGGAGTGCTGATTTTCGAAATGCTCGTCGGAGAGGTTGGTTTTTATGCGTTTTTTGCAGCAATGCAATGCGAAAAACGCACATTGACGAGAGGTTGTCTGTG